CATAAACACTGAGGGGGGGGGCATGTGTCCACCTACTATAAATACCCCCCCTTGTGTTTTTTCCGGGGTTAATTTTGGAGCATTTGTGTCATAAATCAACTTCTCCGTGCGGCTGCAGGATGTGAGATTGTTTGTGTTTTTATTTCTGCATCGCACGTTTAACTTTAACTGAAATCTTAAATCATAAATCATAAATCGTGGTGCTGTGATATTTAGTTGGGGGGGTATTTGAGGAGAAAGAGGAGAAAGAGGAGGTTGTGTTTGGGTTCAGGCCTCGTCTAGACGTTCTGATTGACTCACTGCTTCAGTAAAGACGTTATCAGGTCAAACTGCAGCCAGGAGTCTCGTGATTCCCCTCGGCCCTGTGTTTATATTTATAGTTATAGTTATAGTTATAGTTATATTGTTCTGTGAGGTCGATTGTGTGTTTGTGTAGACGTGTTAAAGTCAGGATCCAAAGAGAGAGAGATGGACTGTCTTGAATTGTAGCAGAAATCACATTTAGGTTTATTTACTTATTTACTTATTTACTTCAGCCGCTTTGTGTCTTTATTTGTTTTAAAACAACCTAAAAGTTAAATACACGACTCAAACAGGTTTTAATCCGACTGTTCAGGAGAAGTTTTATCTCACAACAGCTGTTACACACACACACACACACACACACACACAGAGACACACACACACACACACACAGAGACACACACACACACACCCTAAAAGCGTTAACGAGCGCACACACACGCACACATCGCTGTGAGGTAGTAGATTAGGTCCCAGTGGAGGCTAGTGACACCGATTCAACAGCTGGTAGATGTGTACAGTGTATACAGACACACACAGACGTCCCCATTTCATCAGAGGAGCGAGGCCCTGGCTTGACAACAGAGACTTTGTTCAAAGGTCTGAGCTCAACAGAGAAAAGGGACAGTGGAGAAATTCGAGCAGGGTAAACCGCCCGGGCCAAACTGTGATTACTGCACAGGCTCTGTGCCTGCCTGAGCCTCGGCTGGCTAACAGCAACTGGCATCACGACCATCTGCAGTTATGAGATTCATATCCAGAATAAGGACTTGATTTTTCCAATATCAGGAAAATCTTAATTAATCTCACATGAGATGCAGCTTTCTGGTGCTATGAAGTGTTTGGCAAGCAATCGACAAATTAGTCTTTGCACAAGCCTGCAGAGAGCTGTTAGTTTTTTTCCCTCATAGTTCTCTTATTAAACTTGAAGAGTTTCTGGAAGCCTCGTGTAATGTCTATGCTAACTCAGCCCTGAAGCTTGCATGCTTAAAATGAAATGCACCAGCCAAATTCCATGAAAATTCTGAATTATTCATCAGAATATGAGAGGAAAATCTTAGTCTGAAAAACATCAGAATTTATATTTCGATATGAAAAAAAAATTATTATTACAACAATGTGGTAAAGAGTGTTGTTTGGTTCTGATCTACCTACCTCAAAAAACGGGTATTCAATCATTATATTTCTTCCTAGGAGTCACCTGATGTAACACCAATATTGCCCTTTTATTAAAAATCAAATATCAGCCAGGCTATGTCTGATATGATGTATGTCCCTCCCTGACCGCAGCAAGTGAATACCTTTTTATCATTGTTATTTTTCTATCAGATGTCTAACCAGAGAAATCACTCCAGCCCGGTGTGGCAGAATATTACTCAGCAGCTTCAGGGGTGTCAAAGTCTGTAAAACCTGCAACGAAGCCTCCCTGAGCCTGCCTGAAGGAGCTCAAAGAATTTGATTAGTCTGGCTAGAAGTCTGGAAGAGTTTCAGCGTCTTGGGATGCTTTGAATGTTGATTCAGAAGCTTTTCCACTCTTGATATGAAGATTCTTGGAAAAACTCTAAATTCAAACTATGGTGAACAGTGGCCACTGTGGCAATTGCCACTTGAGTCAGTTGCTTTAAAGGAGTATTAATTTCGTTTTTTTTGCCTGCTTCAGGGGAGCAGAACAAGCTGAAAACATAACAGATTACATCACATTAAAGTGTAAATTGTTACAGCAAACATGTTGAATGAATGTATATAACATTCACTCTCATTTAAGCTTTGTTTTGATCTCTATGAAGCAACACTGTCCAGCTGAAACTGAAATTTAAATTCCAACTGAAATTGTGTTGACGAGAGCAAGTTCACTGGGCTGAAAACCAAGACAAAGCGCTAAAAGCCTCTGTAGAGCTGGGGGAACAGCAGAAGTGACCTCGACCTTGATCCATAGGTTATACATAAATTATTGATTAGTGCAGCATTAAAGACATCATCATTAAGGGACCTCGAGTGAAAGCCAGTAAAATGGGAACACAAGCAGGAAGATATAAATATGTTTCCTGGTGGGGTAGGTGTGTTTTACTTATATGAAATGTTTATCTGTGACATGCTGAAATGTAGTGTAACAATAGCACTGATTAAGTTTGTTTACATTAGCCACCATAAGCTACTGGTCGTACCAAACTAAGAAAAATAGTAGCAGCAAAACCCCAGAGTGTATGAAATGAAGGAAAAGTTAATTTTATTTCTTATTAGCTCAACTTTTCATATGGAGGGAGAATATTGTGTTATTTTTTCTTTATACAGTTTCAGAGTCTCACTTTAATGGTGAAATGTAAATAAGTTAACCCACTATTGTCCACAGGGGAATTTTAAATCTTAAAGTACCAGCTGAGCAAAGCACAAATCCATTTAAATGTTTCAAATTGGTCGAAGTATGAGGGTACTGCACAAATTTTTCTTAACATACTATTTAGTTGTTAGTCACTAGGGGTT